CCCGTTATTTTCGTCTATTTCACCATTGTCTTTGGGTTTCATTTTCACTAGAGCTTTTGTGCGAGAGAATTTAAAACAATGTTTACGCTGCAAGTGGCAATGCCAAATAAAGCAACAAAATGCCAACACAGGGCCACAACAAAAATAATAACAAAAAGCAGGAAAAACCAACAAAACAGGGCCTTATTGTCAATATATTATATATATATAATGGTGTATAGTATTGGCCAATGAGGAAACTGTCAGTCAAGCAGATGTCAAGTACTTAATGGCGGCTGAGAAGTCACTAAAGTCATTGAAGGTTCTGTGTGAAAGAAATTACCAGGCTTTTAGTGAAGGAGAACTTGGGAAAGTAACTGTTATAGATATATATTATTTTTAACAATATATAATTCTAAATAAAAAAATATATAATATATATAATGATTATAAATTATATATGACATGTACTGTTAGTAAAAGCTTGGAAATACAAACTAGTTCAACATCTGAGAGAACCTTTTAATGATGAGCAGAAAATCCAATGAACTGACTTTCTATTACGTGTCTCTTCTTTAAATTTAAATAATAAATAATAAATAATAATAATAAATAGTAAAGTTTAATAAAAACAATTTTTTAGCAAATATGTTGTAAGATCATCATCATTTTTGTATTAAAATATCCATAAAATCAAGGCTATTGAATGTCATAAAATGAGTTTCATAAACACCAAAAGCGTGTTGCTTTATAGCTTCTATTCTGGATGATGATTTAAATATCTATATACTCTTTTTTTAGTAAATATATTAATTTAAGTATAAAAACCTTAATAACTTCATTACTTTTTCTTAGTTTTTAATAACAAATTCGAGTTACAACAAATTATACTTCAGGAAAACATTTTCATTCTAAATTTTCATTTAAGCTTTAGTTTATTTGTCATTTGTCCTTCTTGCTTTCTATTTTCCTTTCATTTTACTTAACTTATTAAGAGCAGACATTTTTGTCCAAGTGCTATACAAACATCAATGTGTGTGTGTGTGTTTGTGTGTGTGTAAGTGTGTGGGTGTGCGAATGTGTGTGTGTGCCCTGAGTGTTTGAGCGTCTTTATAGCTTTAAGTAAGCAATTTGAAATTTGAGCTTCTTGAAGCGTTCTACAACAAAAGGCAGGCTAAATTGTTGTTTTCCCCAAATTGTTGTGAGTTAATTTTCTTTCACATTGTTTGACAGACAGACAGGACTTTGCACTCGCACACACAGACACAGTCACATACACATGATTTAAGGGTTAATTTAACATCAAATTGAATTTCCTTAAAGTCGGCTCTTCTTGGCAACTCGTGACTGATGGCCAGCCCAAGGAAAGTAAAAGAAAGCACTTTTCTTTTCTTTTTCAGGCGAGAGAGAGCCTGAGAAATTTCTAATTACAATAATTAATGCGTCGAGTTGAGTGTTCCCTGTTGCCTGGAATTTTTTCGTGTTTTTTTTGCAGCTTCTGGCTGAGTGCCAGGACAATTTCGCAGGCCTCCTTCTCAGCTTTGCTGTGCTCTGTCTGGCGTCTTTATCATGACAATGCCAACATGTCGTATACTAAATTTTGCAGGCATCATGTCTGCGTCGAAGGTTGACGTGAGCTCACGTACCGAAAGGAATAAGGAAGGAATAAGGCCACGCCCACATGGGCACACACAGCAAAAAAATAAATAAAAGAAATGAATAAAATAAAAAACAAATTCTAAATGAAATAAAAAAAAGAAGCGCTTCTTTATGCGCATATATTCACATATAAGAAGACCCAGGACGACCTGCGAGTTCAAGTCTCTGCCGGAGATGCATTAGCATATCGTATTATCCTCAAAAAAAAAAGGATACGAGTTATATATACATATATATATATACTACAGCAAATAATTTGACTTTCAGTGAAATCAAAAGTCGAAAGGCAGGCAGAATGTGCTCAGAAGAGGGATTGCTGATGCAAACAATATTTTGGAATAAACACAGTTGGGGATTAATATATATATATATATATATATATAGAATTTAAAATACAGAATAAGTAGGTCATACCTTGATACTTTTTGCTATCCAAATGCTTGATTTAATTCCCATAAATCGGTTAGTTACTATTAATGTTAAGGTTAAGATTTGGAATAAAATTGTATTAAAACATTTTAGCCGCAGCATAATACATCTTTCCATCACCCACGCCTTTGCTCTTGAACTCAACCGCAAGTCGCATTTGTTGGTTTTCCGCACACTCACACACTAAACAAATGGACATTAAACACATACACACACACACGCACACCCCAAAGACACACCACACACACATACCAAGCCACACAAAGTGTGCAGTCAGCTTAATTGCCGCACAGACCGGAAACCAAAAACCATTTCCTATTTAATTCTTTTTTTTTTTGTTAGTGATGGTTAACAATGAAGTGAAGACTTTAAAACAAATAATATATCCTGTTTTAAAATATAATAATAAATTACATAAATTAAGTAACTATGATCAGCAAGCATCTATGATCAGTAATTAACTATGAGTAGTAATTAAGTATGAGCATTAAGTAACTCTGAATAATAAATATCTATGAACATTGAGTAACTTTGATCACCAAGCATCTATGATCAGTAATTATCTATGATCAGTAATTATCTATGATCAGTAATTAACTATGACCACTAAGTAACTCTGAACATTAAGTATCTATAATCACAAAATATCTGTGATCAATAAGTATGTATGATTAACTTTGAACACTAATAAACAATGACTTGCAACTTTTGTAACACAACACATATCAGAGACCAGGCCAGAAGAAGGCACTTCGTTACGGGGATGTTAGAACAAGTTGGGAATCATATGCACAGATGTGCGAGATTTGCTTTAGAACAAATATAAGCTATTTTAACGAAACTATGGAGTTATTCTTCTATATAATTTTACTAGTATATAAGCCGAAGCAGGTCGAATCGGTGGACTATATATATTAATATATATAGCTGCCATAGGAACGATCGGAATATTTTTAAGAAACACATAGCTTTGCGATGCAAACATGAATGCAGATACTACTTATGCAAAAGAACTAGCAGGAAATATGTAGATGCTGTTGAATATGGAGTATCTCATAGCCGGGACACTCCACCAAAGCGTTTCATCCATCCTTCCTTCCTTCCTTTGCCGACGAATGTGAGAATGAGTGTTTGAATTAGCAGATGTACGTGTCACATTCAGGACTCGTTGCCACTCGCATTTGCACATGCCAAATGCCAAATGCCGAATGCCGAATGCCGTATGGCGAATGGCGAATGGCGAATGGCAAATGTCGAATGGCGAAAACAAATTCCTGAGTAGTTTTTTTTTACATTTTCCATTACCCCTGCTCATGCATTCTCTTTGCAGGCACTCATGGCATTTCTCCTTTCCGTATGCTCTTTCCGTTCCGGTCCGTTTTCGCATGTTATTTGCATGCAGCTCACGAGGCCATAGGACAAATTTTCTGGACTCGAAGTCTAAAGCCACCACTAGAATCTGGCCTTGCTCAAGGAAAAGGCTCAAGGATCTCTCCAGCAATCTGGCTGCATGAATGCAGCAGGCTCAAGGAGTTATCGAATACACGCCCACAAGGCAATGTGTGTATGTGTATGTGGGGAAAAGTGGTTCAAGGAGCTGCAGACTGGCAATGAAGTGGATTGGTTATGAACTGCACAGGCAGATTGTTCCACTGAACTTGAATCGAATTGTGGTAGTCAGAAAATGCAGCCTATTTCCAAATATATTTAAATATATTTGAGCACTAAAGAAGTTATAAATATATAAGAAACTAAAGCTAGAGCTTAAATTGGAACATAATAATCCAATAGAAATATGACTTAATGCTAAATTTATTATTATATATAACCTTCTCGAAAGTTTGTTAATTAATTAAATTTAAACCCTCAATCAAGCCGCATGCACTCTTTCACTGTCATTATTCATCTTTTCTCCCATATGCCACATTAATTTCTTACTCCGGGAAAATTTTCCTTGGAATTTTGCAGCTCTAAACTTTTCGGTTAAAGTTTTCCCCAGGTAAAAAGTGAGGAATAGGGGATGCCAAATCGGTGAAAATAAAAGCTTGTTGGTCTGCTGGTCTTAGATCAACACAAAAGTAGCTGGAAAACGCTAAAACGATGAACTGTTAAAGCGCCTTTTGTGGCCTCTAGGGGTTCATGCACTCTAAAAAGAAGTTTGCAGAACTTTAAAAATATTGAATACCCCAAAAGAACCTTCTAAAGATATTATTTTCCTAAGAATTCAAACTTTTAACAACCTTTCTTATGATATAATATAATATATCAACTTTTAATATATCATAGAATCCTTACTGATTTTTTTATGTCTCTCTCTATCTTAGATATTAATTTCCTATGAATGGGAATTTTAATTAACTTTCTCTTGGTATATAAAAGAATATATACTTTAAATATATCATAGTTTGCTTTATTTATGTTCTTGATATTTCTATTCTCTCACTGTACCAGTATATTTTGGCCAGCAAGTGTTCTGTTATAAAAAGGCAACCGAGCGTCAGGACCACTGCGCCTTATGTCCTTAATGCGTATGTGTGTGTGTATTGGCGTGTGTGGCTTGTGTGTTTTTGGGTTTTGATGGTGCTTCATGGAACATTTCACTGTTTTAATTTACGTTTTATTTCTGCTTTAATAGCGGTGAGCGGGAATATTGGTTTTATCATCAAGAAGGTCAGAAAATGGTACTAAAAATTCCAGAAAGATTTCACTATAATATCTAAATAATTAAATATAAAGTATTTAATTGAAGCTTTGCTTGCTTGAAAATGATGTTACTTTCTATGGAATATGATTAAATATTGAACTCTCTAATAGATTAACTAAGTTTGCAACTCAGTAATAGAATATTCAATATTTGTATTACGTAACATTTAATTTTAAACTCAAAATAGATTTAAACAGTAAATAACAAATCATAACAATTAATTTTTCAAACTAAACACTAACTAAATAATATAAATGATCGTTTCTACTGCACTTCAAGGCGCTGATCTTTCCATTTCCTATACAACCGCTCAATTCGCCGAAGAATCTTGATTAGTTTTGGGTCATCTTGGCAAAAATCACTCAAAATATCTGTTACCATATGCTTCTTGTTATATAGTTCCCTCATCGGTTGTTTGGTTTTCCTTAAATAGCGCTGCCTAAACTTGTAAACAGCTTGGCCATCGAACAAGCTTCTAAGGAATGCTATCAGCTGTTCATCTGCAAAATGAATGGCCGCCAAGACTTCGGGGGAAACATCTTCCACATTTTCCAACAGGGGATCGCCAAGAACTTGAAAAGGATGCCTCGGCAGCTTTGGCTGGGATTTGACTTTTTCCACCACCAAATATTCAATCAAACGTCTAGCTTCAAACATCAATGATTTCTTAAGGTGCTTGTTAATGGCATCCTTCTTGGCAACGGACAACTTTCTCTCTAGAACATAATTCTGACCAGTCAGGACACTTGGACTGAGTTTAGTTGGTCGTGATCCTTTTATGATATGTCCAAAAGTCGAAGGTTTGGAAGGGTCTTGCTTCCTGCGGATCCTTGCATTTCGACAAATGTGAGGATAATGCTTCCGGCCATTCTTAATACAAAAGGATAAACCAATGTCACCCGAATATTGTCGCGATTCTTCCTCAACATTTGCAGAACTTGAAGCTGGCCATGGTTCCCGCTTATAAAGGATCTTGACAGAACAAGATTTTTGACCTAAGGATGGATTGTTGAGTATTGAGTATAGGGATTTTCTAGGGGATTTTCTTACCTATCGATTCCGTGTCACCTTCCTCATCATTTGCAGAGGTCGAAGCTTTCCACTCTCCCTTCATATAAAGTACATTGGTGGTAAAACCCTCTTGCTCTATCGATGGATCATTTCCTTTGTGTTGGAGCGAGGGAATTCCCCAGCTTCGATTCTGTATCATTGTATGAAGTGTATCTGAATCTGGCACCGCCTTCAAGGCGTTGATCCTCCGATAAATGTTCCGAAACTGGTGGACTTGCATCATCCCCAAAAGCTACCGAAAATATACGTCTTATATCAATATCAAAATGTCGCAGCTCGTTCAAGCATCTCTCTCTAAGGATATTTGTTTGCTTTATGTTCTCTTCCGATTTCTTTTGCCAGTCCAAGAAGAGAGCACTAAGATGGGCGGCTGCCTCTTTTGATTTTGACAAAACCTTTAGATTCTCCTTCATAAAACAATTTTCAACTTCATCATATGGATTTGGCTGCGCCTCCTGCTCTTGCACAATATGCTCGAACATGTCGATAAAATATTTGTTTCCTTTATGAAGAGTGTCCTTGCTTTTTGATTGGTGCGATTTCCGGTTTCTTTTTGGTTGCTCCTCCACATCTCTCTTTTGGTTTGCGATCATTCTTCAGGCGTTCTTTCTCTTTATCTTCTATTGGTAAGCTGCTTTTCCTGCTTTTAGACTTTTCTTGAATTTTCCTAACAAGTTGCTCATTGTATTCGGTTGCCTCTTTTAAGAACTTTTCTTTGGCTCTACGTGCCTTCTTCTTGCGTTTAATTTTTGTGCCAAAGTTAACCCAACAGCTGGCTCTTATACTTCTCAAGAAGATGGGTCCATTTCTGAATCAGAGCCTTCTCCATGAGATTATAGACATCATTCTTGTCGTCGTTAATATTTATATCTTCAAATTCTTTTTAAGCTGTCTTTCGATTTTCTTTGTGGGTATCCTCTTGTCTCTGTTCTGATTCTTCTGAAGCCTCCACTTCTTTTCAAACTCTTCTTGAATTCTCAATTGTCTCTTTCATTTTTATGCTGTCTTTGGTACTTTCTTTCCTCATCTCGTCTTTGTTTGTTTCTTTCGAGTCTCCTCTTCTTTTTCCATTTTCCTCTGCATGTTTTTTTATTTCTTTCCTCTTCAAGCTGTCTTTGATACTTCTCTCTCCTCCCGTCTTTGTTTTGATTCTTTTCGAGTCTCCTCTTCTTTTTATACTCCTCCTCTTGCATTTCTTTTGAATTCTTTCGTCTTCTCGTCTTTCCAACTCTTCTTGCATTATCCTCTCTTTTCAAGCTGCCTTTGGTACTCTCTTTCTTCCTCTTGTTTCTGTTCTAATTCTTCTCGAACTTTCTCTTTCTCTGCTTTCTTTTTGGTTCTATCTTCATTGACGTTTCCTACACCGACTCCTCTTGCTTTGTCTCCTGTCCAAAGGATTTTCTCCAGCTGTTGCTCTGCCCTGTTTATCCTCCAGGACAGCTTTTTCCTGGTTCAATTGCTGCATCTTGAGACGCTCTCGCTCCTCCACCGCTTTTTTGCTGTTGTACTCCTTGAGTTCCTGGTAGGCCATCACCTTTTTCTAACATCCTCCGCTCGAAGGACGGCCTGATGTTTAAGGACCTTGGAACACGCACATTTGTTGGCAGTGTGACATTTCTGACAGTTTACTTGCTTATTGGGTTGAGGTACTGGTTCCTTGGCAGACTTAATATTTACCTTTTTCACTTCTTGAACTTGAACCCCTTTTTGGCGCTGAGAAGGCGCCATGGTTCTGTGTTTCTTGAGAGGAATCTGAGCTTCCCGTCGTTTGTTTATTAAAAAGCGTTCATGGTCACGTCGCTCCTTGACTTTGAGCTGTTTCTGGAGAAGATGTTTCTCCCCAGCCAGGCGTGCCTTTTCCCTGCGTTGGACATCCAGTTGGCGTCGCTCGGTCACAATTTGACGCTCTTGATCCTTTGTCTTCTTGATCTCCTGCTTTTGGGAGCTTGATCTTTCCGGGATGATCCTGGAGGCAACTCCACCTGAACACCATGTCCTGGATTGCGGTCTGTTCTTTGGACTGCAAGGCGACTGGAAACTCGTGAAGCCATGCTCTTGCTCCTGGCGGCGATACTGCTCCTCGAGAGTGTTTAGATGCTCAATTCTGGTTTGCCAAATGAATGTTGTCTTCTGGCTAATAGTGTCCTTGGAGGGCATTTCTGGCTGACTGGCGTGGCTCAACCTTTGACGACCTTCCTCGTCAAGGAGCAGGTGCAAAGCAGTGCGATTATTCACATAAGTTGTGAAAGGTTGCGACAACTGACCCTGTCGCAATTGACGCTCCATCTGATCGAGCAAACAATTCCGAACCCTGGCCTCATCTTGCCCGAGGAACTGAGAAAATGTAACCAATTTGAGCAACGAACACGATCCTCGGCATGTCCCAGTTCGTGTATTAAATGCGAATGTATCTATCTTAATGCGACTATTGCGCTCGAGGCGCTCCATCTCACCTGGGATATCTTTTGATTTACTCGCCATCAAAAAAGTTCAAAATAAAATACTGGTTTTCTATTTTTTTTTTTCTCTCATATAAGTTGCACGTTGGGATCTCGGAATAAGACTGAATAATATAAGCTATTGCTTCGGGATGTAAGTTCACTAGACTCAAGGCTTACTTTGATCTTAATTGTATAAAAAAACTGCTAGGGTTTCTCTTTAGATTTATATATTTATATTCCTTATGTTCTTGGTTATAAAAGATATATGTATATGCTACACAACAATGCTCACGCAGTTGCACAGCACATATTTTGGTCAAAACAATCAAAAGTGGCAACCACAAGGCAAATAGAAGGGAGTGAGGGCCAAAAACACAAAGCCAAATAACAAAAAAGAAATTTAAACAAAAATGAAAATGAAAATGAAAACGAAACAAATGTTGGCCGGCAGCTAAAAGGCAATGGGGAAAATGGGAAATACAATACAGAAACGGAGCAGCTACTTTGGTAACAATAAATGGACCAAAATGGACTCTGTCTCGACCAAATAATTTGGCCATTTTCTGGCCGAAAAATAGGCACACACACACACACGCACAAATACACACTCGCACACACACACACACACAACATAAATAACTCAATTGCAAACTATTTGCTTGAAAAGTTTCCTTTTGCCCTGCGGCAGCCTGTTGACTTACAAAAGTTCTCCTTTCCCCCATTGCCGATTTTCCATTCACATCCCACACCCGGTTTTTCCCCGCAATTTTCCAAATTTCCCACACTCCCCTTTCCCCATTTTTGGTCAGCCTTGGCATGCAAAATAGTTGAAAAATGTAAATAACCAGAGAAGCGGCCCGCAAGGACGAAATAATTCATTAAAAGAATATCAAGTGTTAAAAGTCACACAATTTGCAAGGCACAAAAGAAAATTGTGCCATTGGCAATTTTCCCCATGAGGATGTGTGTGTGTCTGTGTGTGTTCCCAACAAAATTTCAATAGTTATCGCAGTTCTTTAAGCAGCAAATTAAGTTTGAGTAAAGATAAGCGCTTAAAAAGGGTGTACGAAACATACTTTGAGGCCCAAAAGTTTGATCAATTTGAGCCGAGTTTCTGGAATTGCCAAGAGCATAAAACTCATTATTATGCTTATTATATATACTCTTTGCTAAGGGTATTATAAATTTGGTAAGAAGTTTGCCACGCCATGAGGAAGATATTTACAAAAAATAAAATATAGTAAATATATATTGGATCAATCTTGTGTTTTTAAATATAAAAATACTATTTATAGAGTAAAAATCTGTATAGTAGGGTTCTCCATTATTCGGCTTTCCTGGAATTGCCAAGAGCATAAAACTCATTATAATGCTTATTATATATACTCTTTGCTAAGGTATTATAAATTTGGTAAGAAGTTTGCCAAGCAGTACGGAAGATATTTTCCTAAAAAAAAATATATATTGAATATATATATAATGGTTAATCATGTGTTTTTAAATATTAAAAGTACTACTTATATAGTAAAATCTGTATAGCAGGGTTAGCTAAATTTCCTCTATGGCAAGGACATCCAACTTTCGGCTTCCTTAAGCTGGTAGCTTTTCCCTTTTTTGCCATTATTGTTACTGCTGTTATTTTTGACAGCCATTAAGGCGAATAATCGATAAGTTATCGTTATTTGCCCTGCGTCGAGCAATCCCGCTTGTGTTTGGGCTTAGCGAATGGTGGCAGAATCGAAATGAATGCATAATGAATTTCCACAACTAATGAATAAATGCAAAGCAATGCCAATGACTGCCATAATGGCTTTAAGGACACTTTCCGGAAACAGAGAGGAAGAGAGCAGGAGGCATAGGCAAGAAATCAACGAAATGTAAATAAGCAAAACGTGACTTTATTCGCAAAATGATGAGGCCAGCAATGGAATGAATTTTTTTGGGGCCAGCAAACGGGGATTCGGAAACCGGGAACCGAAAACCGAAAACCGAGAACCTAGAACCGAGAACCGAGAGTCGGGAACCGAGAACCCTTGGAAGTCTTAACACCTTTGCCAGTCACTGGCGATACCTCTTTCCCTCTCTTTCAGTACCCATTTTTAAAGGGGTATATAGGACTTGGTTAAAGAACTTGCTGGATGAAGATATATTAGACTAACTTTAGTCATAATTTTAAGCTAACTTCAGGCACTTGTAGTCTCAAGTCGAACCCATAAATATAGCTTTTTTACCTCTTTACATAGTAATCCTTCTTAAACTAGAGACTAATTTTAGTCCTTCAAGTCGAATGACTTAAAACAACATTCCTTCAATGCATAAAACACTGTTTAGAGCTGTTTTAATTCATATTTCCTATAGCTATTTCTATATTTCTTAGGTACCTGTGCTCCTGTAGTCCTGCCCTATGTCCTTGCGTCCTGTTTTTGCCATGACTGCCGCTCCTGTTATCCTTAAGTGCTACTGGCAGCTGACGACGGACGAATGAACAAAACAAAAAAAAACAGAAAAAGGAAAAAATAGTCGGCCAAAAATTGCTGACAGCACTTTTGGAAATTGGCGTCGAAGGCAAAAGCGTAAAGGGGAAAGGGCAGGGGGAGCACAGTCAGGACCAAAAAGGACAAAGGACGAGGGACAAGTGCGTCTGA